GATCGTAGTTCGTATTACATGTTATTAAGCAGCTTCGAGGACGTGAACGACATATCATTTCAGTGAATTATTGTATTCATTATTTGATTTTACGTTTGTCTTTTGACTTCATCAATTCAATTCCTTTCATTTTTTGTGTTGATTACTCCTGAAATGGTCCAGTTTCCTCTCTGGAATAAAGTTGCCAACTAGGTGTATTTTTAAAATATCATTCATCTCATCCAGTTATACATAACAAAGTGCAGAGTTTATGCTAATTCACTTTCAGTATTTGGCATTAATGATGGATGCGATCAGTTGGAAGCAATCAGAGAGCGTGCATGGGTGAATGAATATCGTCTGTTCGGGCAGTTAGGTCGAGAAACGTACAAGAATGAAATGCGTGGCAAAGTCATCGTGAAATGCTCCTATGGTCAGTCTATGAAAATTGAGCATTCAGTGCAATCGTATCTCACGACTATCAGTCAAATTTTCACTCGCTTGACGATTTTAACCCCCTTAATCGGCTGAACCGTCGAATTTCAGATGGTATCACACGGTACCAAATGCAGAAACTCTTGTCTCGAGTTCAAGCGCAATACAAACGAATCTCGTTTGAGCTTGCCAACGTCGATTTGCAAAGTCAAGAAGCTTTCGAATTGGCACGAAAAGTGAGTTTAGTGCAGATTTTCTGTTTACTGCGAAATCTTCTCGCATCATTATCTAACAGTCTCCCCCTCCCCCCCCCCAGCATTTTGATGACACTAAAGTGGACCTAGTTGGTAAAATGTGATGTCAATTGTACGCCAGTTATTGTTTAAATCTGAGGGTGGTCATTTTTGGTGCGATTCGATGTGTTAGATGTCTTCTTCAAATAAATATGATAAGTATTGCAGGGATTACCCCGACCCAAAATTCTCGGCACACCGGTGGTGTACGGTATCAGTTTGAACTCATTCAAAGCACCGCATTTCTCGTTAACGCTTAGTTGTGTCAGCGAAACGGATTCGTTTCTGCGTAATTTTGTTCGTGAAATCGGCATTTGTTTGGGTAAGTTTTTTCGCAATTTATTGTTATGTTACTCTTTCGATTTGAGCAGTATGAGTGTGAACAACAATGTGAACTGCAATAGCAAAAAGAACTCATTCGAGCCGTTCATTCTAAACGCAAGTCATGCTTTATGAACAAAAAAATTAGAATCCAGCAACCCTGACAGCAAAATCTTATCGAATTCGATTGAATCCGTTGAACTGCTGATATGTGAATTTGATGGATAATAATTGGTAGAGTGACATTTTAGGTACGACAGCGTCGTGTAGACGTTTACGGTGCGCTCGAATTGGACCATTCGATTCGAATCATTCGTTGTTGGATAAACATTTTACGCTCAAAAATATTATCACGAATATGCGAATGTGTCAGAAAATGATCGATAGAGACGAAACGGAGATGGACAAAGATATTGTTAAGAATAGGCCGCATATTGCAGTATCGGAACTGATTGAAGACGAGTACCTGGAGTGTTTCGAGAACAATTCGGAGGAAGAAGTTGTTGAAGATTGTCTTAGGGTAGCATGGGGTAGAGACTATACGCAAGTGTAGCTTGTTCAGTTGAAATTCGTTGTAAAAATATGAAGGAAATGATTTGCTCATACGCAGAACTTCATTGTAAAAATATAAAGGAAATGATTTGCTCATACACAGAACTTCATTTGCTATTGTTTGTATGCTGTTATCGAATGAGATATTGAAGATGGGTCATCGATTAACTGTGAAATGATGTGAATATAACGCAACTCGTGAACATCTTTAGTACTTGATTGAATTTTATTGATAGCTTTGTGAAGTAATTGAAAATTGGTACAAATCAACAATGCTTAACATTTTTATTCGTTATATTCATCGAATTTTATACTACAATACTAATAACATGAAACGGAAGCATTATACAAAGAACTATCCTACAACGGGGTTTTGCGTTTTTACTACAGTATAAACAAGAATGCGACCAACATTATCAATATATTCATGTGCATTGTCGCGGCGCATTGTGTTTTTACGAAGCGTTTGACGCATGTAAAACTTGAAAAACTATTCATCGATTCGTAGAAAATAATCAGCTGAAGTGAATAATTGTCTTCATTTGTAATACGCATTATATGCCATCGATGTTTTTTGGCGCATTTGTTCAGAAAATTGTTGTTATAGATGTAAAGTAAGGTGAATGTAAAATATTATATTCACAATCAGTTGAAAACAAAAACGTATTTTTCGTTTGATTCATATACTCATTCGATTGTAAAATGAATAAATTGCCTGAATGGAATTAATTCTCATATTTGGGATTGTCATGTTTTCGACGTTGTTTGCGTTCAGCGAATTTCCTCTCCAGTTGACTGAGCTGATGATCGGTGATCTCAGCCCATTGTGTCATATAAATGCTGCGTATTAGAGTAAGGATGGCGTTCACGAATAACGTCATAAATGACAATATCCAAATGTGCAACACGAATATGAACATCACGTACATTATTGTGGCCTAAAACAGTCGTTTGGATTGATGCGTTTTCGTAGTTCATATGATCCTTAACAATAATACTTACAAAAATTCACTGTTCTCAGGTAATCAGCCGTTTTGAGTGATTTTCAGATAATGTATTCGATTCAAGTGTCTTAATTGTCAACTTTAGTTTTATCGTAAACCAAAACGATCCGAAATGAATGTCGTCCAATTTGAAATGCTTTAAAAGTCTTCGGTATATTTCAATCAGCAGTTCTTTCCTCATTTTCTGTTTCTCAATCGTGCAGCTGCAGTCAGTCACTCATATTATCCAGAAAGGTGTTTCGTTCATCCTTAATCAGCTGTAGAATAGAACATTGGTTCTATTTTCTGAGCAATGAACTTACTACTGCGGCAGATTAGCGATTCAAAAGAGTTACGTCATTTCAACTGAAATTGAGCAGAAATATAACCTTATTAGCTTCAATAGGATCGGGAACATATTTGGTGTGGCCGGAAGTGAACGCTACAGATTGAATATAGACCAGTGCCATTGTCCATGTCCAGTCCGGTTGATCGTACATCATTATCGCAGTCCCTGCATTGAGCAGTTGGGCAACAATATATTAGGCGCAATTCAGATTTCGATCTATTGAACAACTCTTCAAGTGCTCGAATTATTTTGTACATTTTGAGATAATATATTCGACTGTCTTGAGCAGCCAGTAAATGTAATGCTCAGATAGAAATACACTTGGATGATGAACGAATCACTCGGAACACGTAATCATTTCTTTTTTCAGGGAAATAAATAATTTTGATTATTACTTCATTGTTATAACTCGTTCTCATTGACTGCATGATCAATAGTGTAGCGTGATAAAAAAATCCTCATCAATATCATAATACTGTCTGTCGTTGAATTGATCAAAAGTTTGGTTGAATAAGTTTGAGGTTTTTTGCTCTCGCTATGAGTCTATAAATAAGACCAAATAACTTTCTACCAAACACTCAAAATCGACTGAGAAAATCAGCGAAACAATATTTGGCCAGAATGAAAATTGCTCTCTCAACCATATCGATGATTTACTTCATCACAGTAACTTGCTTATGTCCATGTAGGTTTGTTCATTTGTTATCTGTCAATTTGGTTTATCATTCCCAAATGCAATTTGTTGGATATTTATTTTTGAGTCAATCGAAGAATTGAAATTCNGTCATTGTGAAGACAAAATACCATTAGTACAGTCAGAGAATGATGGATTTAATTGAAAAATTTCTTCAACTAAAATATATTCAATCACATTTTAGTGATACCCTGTCAAATCATGGACTTTTTTCCGAGTGTTTTGAATTCATGTGAATTGTTTTTTACTAAATGCTTATTCGAATCCCATTAATCGAATTCGAATGTGCACGTTGTTTTTGAATTTCACAACTTCATCGGTTATATGGTGTATAATAGTTTCAAGCCGATATTTTAGGCGTAAAATCAAGTGCATGGACTGGTTCGTCGGCAAGTGGTTGGAGTAGTTCAGGAGTTGGTAGCACTGAAGGATCATCGGCAAGTAGCTGGGTTGCTGGACCTGTGGTTGTTCAAAGTAACAGCCACGCCAATGATGGTTGCTCTTGTGAATCAACTACAATGAGAAGCGTTGATCAAGACGACGAAGGAGTTGCTCAGAACATGCAGCAGCATACGTTTGCATGGGTCGCAACTGCAGCATGAGATCAATCATGTTGATGAGTACCAAAATACGTTCACAACGCATGCTGAGACCCGTTTTGAGATGAAATAACCATCAATGAATATGTGCTGTAAACTCTTCACACGAGAATAAAACTTGTCAGTCTCATGAAATGCCACAAATCGGCTTAAAACGTTGCAGATTCAGTCAAAATGAGTACAAAAAGAATTGCAAACCTGCGATGATAACTAGAATGAGTAGAATGAATGAAATGATTAGTAGAATGGCATCTCGTTTCACCAATGCCCACATGTACGTATACGATACTTTGTCGGGATTGACGATCGGTTCATCGAGACGTAAGATTTTTGTGAGGATCTTCAGTTGCGATGGTTTTTTAAAGGTGTTGTTAGTTATTTGAAAGCAATTGCGTGCAAGAAATAAAAAATGGATACAACAGAAAATGCATCGATATAACGAAACCACTCACGAATCGCAGAATGGAGCTGTATGTGAGACACATTGATGCTGTTATAATGGTTGAAGCAATAGTGCCCAGATATGAAAATACGGACAGCACGAATTGACCATAAGCGTCACGTATACGGATGTTGTTGTACCCTGTCAGATTTTTGTAACACTTTAAAATGAAATAAATCTCTGTATCTGAGGTAATGCTAATGCTCGTGAATATTCAACAGTATCGTAGTTTTTATCACAAACCAAGAGAACTTGCGCAACTAACCAGTAGTGAGTGCATAGGATATGATGAGAGCAAGACAATTCGGATATGTGAACACAGAGTTCGTGTCACTGCCAATTTCAATGAAGCGATCAATCTTTAGATAATTCGTATAAAGTGGTTGCGCATGACTGATGTAATCCTCGAGGAAATCTTCACAAATACAATCATTAGAAAAGCATTTTATGGCTTGTCTTTGTGAATTGATTAATCCTGGCTTTTACACTGTTCAGTAAAATAAGTGAACAACCTCGGCCCAAGCATCGTGTTAGGCCTTAGACCAACTCTCTGATCAGTTTTACCCTCATCCTCGTGATAAACCTCAACCCAAGTCCAATTGTGTTCACAATTTAAGTCTCATACTAAACCTTAACTTGAATTCTGGAAAAAAAACCTCAAACCGAGCGTGAGCTACGCCTCAGCCTAAACTTGTGTACGTTTTTTTTTGAAAGAAAACGATTATGCTATGCTTAATGTGAATGCTCGAGAACTATCCAGTGCATTTTTNGCTGAATGTGATAACCTTGAACTTCTCTGTAATTATATGTAGAATAGTTGAATGCTCGTAGTGCACGATTAGTGTATTGAACAAGCAGGGCTTTCAACTGAAATTGTTTTCAGTCAGTCTAGTAATTGACAATAATTTCTCGCATAGTGTTAATCTTAATTCGAAGTTATGATCGTCAAATTTCTTATTGGAGATCAAATAGAAACCTCAACAGGACTTATCTACAGATGGATATTGGATGAATATGTAAGGTTATCCAGTCTTGCTTTCAAACTCTTCATGATACTGTCATTGCAAAAATGATGCTCATCTAAAACCAATATTAGTTTTTCGGCGTTAGACAGGTATTGCTAATTTCTGAGAAACTAATAAACCGATCAAAGCAAAAAGGTCACTCGCACAGAAATAGGTCACCCTGCCCTTCACGAAGGTCCATAGTAG